CATTTGTTGAGATTATCATGTGTTTTTTGTCTTTGGCTCTGTTAATAAGGTGTATTACATTTCTTGATTTACATATGTTGAACCATCCCCACATCCCTTTGAAGAATCTTACTTAGTAATGTTGTGTAACCTTTTTGATGATTTGATCCATTTTGTTTCCCAGTATCTCCTTGAGGATTTTTGCATCTATGTTCATCAGGAATATTGGCTTGTAGTTCTATTTTTTGGTTGGTCCTTCTCTGGTTTTGTTTTCAGGGTAATACTTTCAGGAATGATTTTGGAAGTATTGCTTCCCTTTCAGTTTCATTAAAAAGTTTGAAAAGTAGTGAATGCCATTAGATCTTTTCTAATTTCTTGTAGAATTCATCAGTGAAATCATTGGTACCTGGGATTTTCTTTGTTGATAAATTTTTAATTACATTTTTAATTTCATAGACTGATACTGGGTTATTTTGAATAATTTTTACCTTCTTGATTGAGCTTTAGTAATTTATGTGTATCTAGGAATCTGTTCATTTCTTCTGTATTTTCTATCTTATTAGAGTACAGGTTCTCCAAGTAGGTATCGATGATCTTTTGGATTTCCATAGAATCTGTTTTGATTTCACCCTTATTATTCCTAATTGCATGGATTTGAGTGTTTTCTTTTCTTTTTCTGATAAAGTCAGTTATCAATTTTACTTAATATTTTAGGAACCAACTCTTCATTGCATTAAATATTGTTTTCTTAGTCTCAGTTGCATGAATTTCTGCTCTGATCTTTATAATTTCTTTCCCCATTCAAGCTTTGGGCTTGACTTGTTCTTTTTCTAGATGTTCAGGTTTCAATGTTAGGTTGTTTATTTGAGCCCTGTTTTCCTGATATGAAAATTTACCACTATATATTTCTCTCTTAGTACTGCTTTCATTGTGTTCCATAATTTTTAGTATTTTGTAATGAAATTATCATTTCCTTATAGACAATTTTTAATTTCTTCTTTAATATCTTCTGTGACTCACTGCATTCAATTTCAATGGACATTTTAATCTCCTGAATACCTATATGAATTTGTTTCATGTATTCCATATCTTTCCTATGTTGGGCATTCATGTTGCCATCATTTCCCCTAAGCTCTTCAATATTTGTTAGTTTGTCTTTGTTTTATAACTGTGGATCAAACTTGGGACTTTGTGTTTGTGAGGCAGACAGCAGCACTGAGCTAAATCCCCAGCCCTTCAATTTGTTTTTATCTTTGTCTACTCTAGATTCATTGGGCATGTCCTTCATTTTAATCAACATACTTTTTAAATTTTTACCTGAGAGATTATTTTCTCTATAGCCTCACTCCTATGTTTGTTTATTTTTCTGCTTCTACTATCATTTCAGACAACTTATTTGGGTCACTTCATTTCTTCAATTTCCTCTATCTCCTTGTGCCCTACACTTGTTGTGGGTGGGCTGGACATCTGGGTTTGCATTTTGCTTGTCATTTTCTATTTAAAATTTTTTTTTTTTTTTTTTTGGTACTGGGGATTGAACTCAGGTCCTTGTGCTTGTGAGGCAGGCAGCACCACTGAGCTAAATCCCCGGCACTTTATTTTTAAATTTTATTTTGTTTTCTGTGTTGATGCTTGTAAATTTCTTAGGGTAGACAGCATTATCATTAGTAGTGAGGCTTCCCTAGGGAATATCAATTCCTCAGCGATGTCTTCTGGGCAAAGGTGGTTCTTGGTCTTCGTGTCTGTCCCAAGATCCTACCTTCCTAATTTACTAAGGATGAGAAGTTGCTGTGTATTTGGCTCAGAACTAAGTACTAATACTGAACTCTGATGATGGTTATGATGCCAGACAATCACAGTGTTATCATACAAGGAATAACAATTGACTAAAACATGTATGACATCCTGTCTAAAGTAGTACAAGTAGCAATAACAATAGCATCAAACCAGCATAGAAACTGACAACCTGTAGTAACTATTAATCTAGGACCTTTAAACATAGGAGCAAGCTCTAGAATTATATAACAAAATTCAACATAAATTAGGAACTTGTATGTAGTGAGTTTCCCCTTAGTGGAGTGATTTTATGCTAAGGGGGAAATTTGAGAGCAATGGGGACAAAACAGATAAATGGATGGAAACAAAGTAGAGGCAAGGCTGGAGGACAAAGGATGGTCACCCAAACTTTGGAAAACTGGAGAAGAGGACAGGTGAGAAAGAATGAAAGATAAAACAAAAGAACACTGAATTAATTGAACTGAAAAGACAATATTCACTCACACAAAAATATACAATCAAGAGAAATAGTTGGAGCAAAGTAGAATAAAATAAAAATAAAGGTAAGAACCTAAAGAAGAACAACAAAAACCTACCAACTCTACAAGAAAAGGAAAATGAAATAACTAAAGAAAAACATACTCCTCTGCTGTTCATAGTTCTGTGGTAGGGTCCAAGGCAGGTACTATTCCAAAGCTGTGCTGTATAACCCCACCATGTCTGCAGTAGGATTAGTGCTGGGTACAGGGCTGATTTGGGCCTTCATATAAGGGAGCTGGGGCCAGTTTCAGTCAGCCGCTCTCTGGATGACCTTTAGGTGACCTGCCCATGTTTCCGTACTGTGACTGTCTCCATGCAACTCTCCCAGTTGCTGTGATGTCCTCAGGCAGGGACAGCCTGGGGCTGCTCCCAGTTGGCTCCTTCCAGTCTTCGCACAGCTTCCTCCGTTCCATCCCCTCTGACAAGTCTTCGTCCTGTTCCACCACTTGTCAGAGGGGTAGGGTGTGCTGTCACCACCACGGATGCAGCCCGAGGCTGCTCCTTTCCCCTTCTATCCCCTGTCCTGCGGGTGGAGTGCTGACCTCCCCAGGCTGTTCGAATCCCAAGTGGCTTCATGTCAGCACTGTTCTCTCCATTTGTCGACTGGTGGCCACTCGCTTCCTTCACCACCTCTGTGCACTGTGGTGCCTACCTTTGTCGGCTGGTGTTTCCAGTTACCTGCTGTGTTCATAGCTGATTATCTCTGATTAGCTCCAACATGTCTCCTCCTCTAGTCCGCCGTGTTGAATCTCTTGATACATAGCAAACTTTTTAAAAAAAGGATTTAAGATGAGGCTGTCTTTGTGGAGGCTACGCTTTTGACCACTGCGGTATGTGTTTCCACTGACCTTGAACTATTATTACCACTGGCATCAATTAGTAACAAGTTCAGTGCTTCTTTCCTTCTTTTCTTTTTTATTGCAATTCTAAGCATTCTTCATTCAAATTAAATTTTAGCTTTCTTAATTGCTTTGCCTGATGTGCTCACCGAAAGAGTAATTCTAAGTAGCATATCGGTATTCCATTGTTATTTTGATACCATATAACAAATATAGGCATTTATTGAATCCATTTATTACTGGAATGGGATCATTCCATGGTCATACCTTTATGTCCAGAATCTGCATATTGTTTGGTCTATAGCAAAAACGCAATACTTATTTATTAACTTAGACCTTAATAAGATGGATGATTCTGGGCCTTTGTGTGATTCTGAAAAGGAAAACATGTCAAGAAGATTATATAGCCCAGAATTTCTGGCTTAGAATACATAAAGTATTCATTGGGCATATTTAACATTGAGCTAGTATGAATGTTAAGGGAGGGGGTACAAAACCTTTAATTCTTTTTTTTTTTTTTTTTT